TATTTGAATTACTGTTGCCTTTCTATCATCTCAAACTAGTCTGTCCATTCTCCTTTGACCTCTTACATCAACAAGGCATTTTCGTCCACACAACTGATGTTCACTGGATATATTCTCTTTTTTGGACCGTTCCCTGTAAACCCTAGAGATTATTGTGTGAGAAAATCCCAGTAGATCAGCAGTGAGCCATCCAGAGGGAGGATCATATGACTGGGTTGCACCCTAGGCTGAGGGTCAAGCAAGCATTTTCTTATGAAGGATGTCAATGTAACATTACTCCAAGCCAGGCCACACAGTCTCTGGTGACCAGACCCCCTTCATCAGAATTTCCCTTTACGCAAGAGTCTGCAGAATTCCCCCTTATATCAGACTGTACAGATTTCTCTTTTACATCAGAGTCCAAAGTGTTTCCTTTTACATCAGACACCGCAGAGTTCCCCCTTGAACTGTAAAGGGGAACCCTGCTGACTCTGATATTTTAACCTGACCTTCATGTAACAGAAGAAATATGTTGTATGCCTTTTGTTATACGTTAAGCACTTTGCTGATCACACTAGCTACATGTCTGTAGCTTACATATCAGTATTTGCACAGGAAATACTGATTTTGTTCAACTTTTTGAACTGTCAGTAAAAAAATTGGCCCTGTCATTAAATTTTTTTGTATCGGGTCAATAAATTTCACTTCGGGAGGTTGGCAGTCCTACGTACAAGAAATGAAGCCATGGCAGCCGACAAGGACAACCCGGCATAGGAATGAATGGAGGGACATAGGAGATGCCGTATATGCAAAGAAGCCATGGCAGCCAGCACAAAGAATCCAGGATCAGGCACAGCTGAAGGGATGCCGGGTGTGCCGTTTTTGTAAAAGTATGGGCAACAGCTAATGCAGGGACTCCATACAGTGCCAGGCAAGTAAGTGGCTGTATTGGGCGATGCTGGCAAGGGCTGTGCCCCCCCTCCCAGATTTCAGTTGTTCCCCCCCCCAAAACCCCCATCCCACAAAATCCCCACACAGCATACACCAAGGTTGGTTACCGTCATTAAATTCAAGGACAGTTTTAAAATCCATGGTTTTTACATATGTCCATGAATGTCCATTACGGACATGCAGTATGCTTGTCCATAATGGATATTCACAGACAGGAACCTTTTTCCTGCATGAAACGCAAGCACAGCAGCTCATTCAAATGAATAGGCTGCCATGCCCAAGCAAATGCAGTCCAAGGCAATTCCTTTTTTTCCCAATGTGGCCCAAGAAGGTCAAAAGGTTGGACATCCCTGCTTTTATATACAAGGCTTCCTTGACTAGATGAGATGGAGATAGCAACAGCATCTGCTCCTCCTCTCCACCTGCTCAATGAAAAAAAAGTTCTGTAAATGGTGCTGAGCGAGTGACCCCCTGTGTTCAGTATACAGAAAGCAAGTCACTCAAGCAGCACCCAGAAAAGCCAGGGCTAATGTTGTAGGACAGGCTACTAAATTGTATTTCTGTATCCTCAGCCACCCTTCGGATGTGAGCTATGAATGATTAGATGTAACCAAGTTTGACCAATTAGGTTTAAAAAAAGTTTATTCAAGGTTTCCAGATTTAACCACTTGCCGTTCGCTCACAGTAATTTTACTGCTAGTGGGCAGCAACTACAGGCCGGGCAATATACTGGTACATCGCCCGGCACATGTACACCAGCACAGGACACAGCGGATCGCGAATCTTGGTAACCAGCCTCTATGAGATACATGATCACCATATAAGTGCAAATGTTATGGATGGGTTCATTCATAACACCTGTGATTCCTCTTGTGATTCTGTGATTGGCCCACAGGTATCACATGGTACCTGGGCCAATCACAGCACACAATAGTAATCACACTGTCTTGACAGTTCAAGACATTGCTGTTATAGTGACCATCACTATAGCAGCAATCAAAGTGTAAAAAAAAAAGAAAATTCACCCCTAGAGTATTACAGTGTTATTACTGTGACACTGAACTGCTCTAATGATAGGGCATAAATAAATAAAAATGAAGAAAAAAAAAAACGGAAATAAATTTAGAAAAATAATTGAAATTTTTTTTTTTTACTGTCACCAATCAGTATCCCTGATAACCATCACACCAGATGCTGTACTGCACTGGTGGTGGTATGAAAATATACTGTGAAAACCCCCCCCCCCCAAATTTTATTTAATTTCTTTATTTTCCAAAAAATGACGACAAAAAAATGACAACTTCAAAAAAACTCACCAAGCCTCTTACTAAATACCTCAGACTGTCTACTTTCCAAAATGGGTCATTTGGGGAGTATTTGTACTCTGCTGGCATTTTAAGGGTCTCAGGAAATGAGATTGTCCGTCAGTACATCAGAATCGACCCATCTCCAAATATACAGTATACCATAGTTTGTGGACGCTATGAACACAAACCAAATAATATACACTTATTGGGCTTTTTTTTCTTTTTACAAAAGACATGTAGCAGAATAGATTTTGACCTAAATTTATGAAGCAATTAGATTTTTTTATTGGATGAGTTTTATAACAGAAAGTAGAAAATTTTTTTTTTTTCAAAATGCTCATTCTTTTTTTTGTTTATATAATAAAATAATTAAAAAAACAGCGGTGATCAAGTTTCACCAAAAAAAAGCTCTATTTGTGTGAAAAACAATATAAATTTTATTTGGATACAGTGTTGCATGACTAAGCAATTACCAGTTAAAATAGCGCAGCACCAAATAGAAAAAAATGGTCTGGTCATGAAGAGGGTAAAACCTCCTGGAGCACATGTGATTAAATATTGTGATTGAACTTACTCAGAATATACCGTACTTCATTTTAATCCTGGTTGTCACCTTGTGCACCTGGCTGCCTCACTTATAGCTGCCATTAGCCTTCTTTTTGAAAGTTTTGAATGTTAGCAGGTACAAAATACAGAAAACATGTTGTTCCACCTCAAAGTGATACAAAAAATGACCACTGCCCCAGTCTATAACTGGCCTTCACAGCAAGGAACACATGGAAGGGGCAAACAAACCGAATTAACCTGTCTAACAGTATGTGTTAAAAAAAGGGGTTTAGTTAGCACACATTTGAAAATACTTACGTAAGCTACAGAGCCTTGTCATGGCACCCCGATATTTTGTAATCCTAACTCTACAAATATTGAGAGCCCCCATAGTAGAGGCACATGTATTTAATGGATCTCAAATCCATCCTAAAGTGAACCAGTCATGACTGAGCTTATGCAAGCATTTTTCATACTTTGTACTCATCAGGAGTTCTCACATGTAAATGCGGTTGGGCCAAAACACAGATGTAAACGTGGCCTACAGCTGGTCACACAGGTTACTTCAGTTTGTATCTAGTCAGTCTCCCTGACATTTGACTCCCTGTCAAATGCATGACCTCATGCGGAGAACACACACTGTCTTTCAGCTCCATTTTAGCTCTGGATAGAATACAGAATTTATTTAGCTTTGGATGGAGTGTGTTCTTTCTGTCCTGAAGGTACAGGAAATGAGAGGAAATCTCTCCAAAGTGACAGTTGTCTCCAGAATAGGTGTCTGTGTTTGAAGATTTCCCACCCACTCCCAGGAGCGGACTGACAACTCATGGGGCCCCCAGGCAATAGGGGATCATGGGACCCCTGTGTCCTTGCCCACACTCAAAAAAAGCCTATAAAAGGTACCAGGGGCATTTCATGGGGCCCCTACTGACCCCGGGCCCTCGGGCAGTGCCCGAGTGCTTGAATGGTCAGTTCGCCCCTGCCCACCCCACTGTTCTGATGAAAACAGAAACATTCTAAATTTCCCATGGAGGAGACAGCCAGCAAAAAGGACTTGACAGAAGTTACAATTTAACAGAGCACTGAAAACATTAAAAGTGTGGTTAATTACATAAATGAGAACCAATCATGACTGGGCTTATTGAAATTTTAATAAAATATTGACACTCATCCACGGTACATTTGCTGCTGGTGGGCGGCACAGGCAGGCTGGATCACATACATGTACATCATCCAGCTGTGGGCACTCAGCGTGCTGCTCCTGCAAACGCTGTTTCCGATGGATTGTGGATCGCAGTAACCAGCCGCTTTGAGCAGCTGGATGTCACGTGATCACTATGCGATCACATGATATCAGTGTCAACACAACTGCTAGTTGGCACAGGAGATAACATTACTTTTATAGATGCTCCATTTATCTTGACATGTCATTGTAACCTTTACTATTGTCATAAACTTGTTATACTACTTCTGTCTCTGCACCCCTATGCATTTGCTGGCAATGGACATGTACTCTCATGTTTATGCTCTCTACTGGTTAAAAGTTGAGTAAAATAGATTCAACACCCAAAAATAAAAATGTAATAAATTGCAGCTTATCAGTCCTTAGATGAGGTGGCTGCAATAATTTTATTTTTTTTTTTAGGATTTTATTTCTTTATTTTCGCCTGGTAATCCAGCTACTAGCACACTTCCTTTGTAAGGGTAGCTAGACTTACGCCTCCACTGTATTTATGGAAGAGCAGCATACTCACCCTTGTACAGCAGCATTGTCAGCCTGTGAAATAGGGTGGTGTTGGATGGACTAGATTTTTTCAGGTAGATTTTTACATGCTGTCTGAAAAAAGGAACATTAACCCCCTCCCGCCCACCATATAGTAATATGACGGACGCAAGGTGGTTCTCTCGTTCTGTGAGGATGTCATATGACGTCCTCCCCAATCTAACCGCGCATGCGCGGCTCCCAGAGCACGCAGCGCAGCGATTGGCAGTGCGCTGTGTCCCTCGGACACAGTGGATCACCAATCCATGAAAAGAGCCGAAGATGTCGGCTCGGTCATGTGATCAGCTGTGTCCAATCACAGCTGATCACATGTAAACAGCGAAATGCCGGTTATCGGCATTTCTCTCCCCAGGAGCTGTCATGCTGACAGCTCGTGAGGAGAAGAGAGCCGGTAATCGGCATTCCTCGGAGGAGACATGTACACTGATCATCAGAGCACTGATGATCAGTGTGCCCTGATGATCTGTGTAGCCCCAGCAGCGCCACCTGTCAGTGTCCATCAGTGCCAGCTCTCAGTGCTCAACAATGCCACCTGTCAGTGTCACATCAGTGCCACATCAATGCCACATATAAGTGCCCATCTGAGCTGCCTCTCAGTGTCACCCATCAGTGCCAGTCAGTGCCACCTATCAGTGCTGCCAATCAGTGCCAACTACCAGTGCCAGTCAGTGCCGCCTATCAGTGCCAGTCGGTGCCGCCTATCAGTGTGCATCAGTGCCCGTCAGTGCTGCCTATCAGTACCGCCTAACAGTGCCAGTCAGTGCCACCTTACAGTGCCAGTCAGTGCCGCATATCAGTGCCACCTATCAGTGCCATATGTGAGTGCTGCCTTTCAGTGCCCATCAGTGATGCCTGCCAATGCCCATCAGTGCCACCTACCAGTGCCTCCTCATCAGTGCTGATCAGTGCCACCTATCAGTGTCCATCAGTGCAGCCTATCAGTGCCCATCACTGCAGCCTCATTAGTGCACATCAGTAAAGTAGAAAAAATCACTTAGTTACAAAATATTTTAACAAAAACTAAGAAAAAACTTTTTTTTTCAAAATTTTCAGTGGTTTTTGGTTTAAGTAAAAAAAAACCCAGAGGCGATTAAATACCACCAAAATAAAGCTCTACCTGTCACAAAAAAAATGATAAAAATTTAATATGGGTACAGTGTTGCATGACCGCGCAATTTTTATTCAAAGTGCAACAGCACTGAAAGCTGGAAATTGGCTTGGGCAGGAAGGGGGTACAAGTGCCCTGTAGGCTAGTGGCTAAAGGATATGTTCACTTAAAAAAATGCACTTTTAAAATTGTCTTTGTAGGAGCCTGGAAAGCATTGCACCAGTGATTAGCAGATCATGAGTGCCATGCAGGACTCCTGCAGATCGTCAGTGTAAGCCAGCCTTTCTCAACCAGGGTGCCCAGGCACCGTGGGGTGTCTTGAGGTTTCTTCAGGGGTGCCTTGGCAATATGTCTAAAAATTGCACAAAACTGGTGTACAAGCCAACGGGTGAAACAAGCCTGCCTTTTAGTTACACAAAGCCACAGGTTATCATTGTGCACCATTATGACCTTCTAGCTCCTGGCGTCCTGACAACCAATGACATCATCAGTTAATAAGGAGGATGTCAGCTGCCTACACAGCATCCTAGTTTGACCCTCCCCTGCCCCTCTCCATCAGTGCTGGGGTCACTTTGGCTCAGTGATGGAGAAAAACTGAGGGAGAAGAGAAAGAATGGAATACTAGTCAGTACCAGTGTGCAAAAGTGTACTTGCTTTGGAAGAATAAATCCCCTCTAATGTTGGGTGTCCTACATGTGTGGATGTTGCTGCATTATATAAAACTATTAGAATAGTTTTTAATATTTTAGAAGTGGTGCCTTAAGACTATCTGAAATTTTAAAGGGTGCCTCGGGACTGTCCATAATTTTAAAGGGTGATTTGACTAAAAAAAAGGTCGAGAAACACTGGTGTAAGCTGTCTGCCCATACATCGTACAGACGGCAGTTTCACACTCACAGGAAGACTCAATAAACTATTAGAGCACTCAACAGCGCCATGGCAGTTCATTGAAGACTACAACCTGACAGCAAAGGCTGTGGGCATTTGTAGTTTTCACATTCACAAAACTCTGTGTTTGTCATAAACACAAATAAATTATGCGAATTGTGACGGTGAGCAGGGGGGATAAGATCCCCTGCTCGCTGCCACAGGTGCAGGGACACTCCTAAATATGGGTGTAACATGGTACAAAAAGTGAACTTATCCTTTAAAAAGGGTTCTGGAATCCCTTCTTAATCTCTGCCTTGTGTTAAGGCTGATGACTGGAAGAAGGTCTGGAGATGCTACTGTTAGAAGGGAATGATGAGAGAGCGCTTATTCCAAAATCACAAAAGCTGTTTTTTTTTTTACATGCAGCGCTGATTCATTACTGTTAATCTGTTGCCGTTTCCCGGAGGCCAATTTTATTTCGATTAAGCTGGTATGCTGCCTCGCAATCCTCATCCCCTTCCAGAAGCTCCTTTTTAATTTCGAGTGAAAATGGCTATTGCAGATGGATGCTGGGTGTCAGGAATGCAACCCGAACTGCATGTGACACGGGAGCCTGGGCATCGTTCCTGGCACACGTGCTAGCTGCGCTTCCCAAATTTAACCCTCTGTAGCTGGTTACTCCTTAGTGTTATATGCCCTCTAGAGTTACTATGAAAAAAATATGTTTTTGAGAGAACTTTGGGCCAAATCGAAAATGCCATATATGATGCAGTCTGTCACTAGCAGCATTCTTTGTTTTCTAGTTGATTCTTCCAGTAAGTAAATGTAATATATAGCAACGTACCACTCCTTGGAAGTGGTAGCTACTATAATTTTCTTTTCTTTTTTTTTTTTTCTTTTATTTTCACCTTGTGATCCAGCCAGTAACACACTTCCTGTCTTAAGGTGGCTATACCGTAAGACAGGACTCATGTATGTTTACATTGGTAGATTGGACATGAAAGTTAATTACTGCCGTCAATATAATGTTATTATGGTATGTAATACATTACTAACATATATTTTAACAATTTGTCAATAAAACGTATGAATTTTATCATTATTATTATTATTATTATTATTATTAATATAATAATAATAATAATAATAATAGTTTCAGGAGACATTTTCTGTACTCTTAAAGTCCCATTTGAGTTGCTTTGATTTCTTGCAGTCATACAGTATATTAGGTACACCCCACAAATACTAGGAATCTACAATACACTCACTGGCCACTTTATTAGGTACACCTGTTCACCAGGTCAGTGATGAAACTGGCAAAAGCCAGAAAGCACAAGGTAAAAAATTAATATTACTGACCTAAAGTAAAATGGCCGCCAGACCTCATCGTGGTCTGGGCGGCAATGAGGCATCACAAGCTGTCAGTTCCTCCTGAGGCCTTTCGTGCTAAGGCACATCTTCAGAGGGGGGCTTTACCTTGTGCTTTCTGGCTTTTGCCAGTTTCATCACTGACCTGTCCTGTACTAAATCTGTTACTAATAAAAGTTTGACATACTACACTATGGGTACTTTCCCACTTTTTGCCCCTTACTGAGGGGTTTCCAGACCAACAGACACAGCTACACCCAGAGGAGGGAGCCCTCACCTGGTCGCTTTATCCTGATCCTAAGGAGGTCTTGTGAGTCCAGCAGATCATCGCCTGATGACACCCCTTCCTGAGGGAGAACGATACCTGTGGATTTTAATACACACATGCGCATTTCCTATGCGCGGTCAGTGAGTGCGCATTTCTGTCATTCCTACTGGATCCTTCACAGCTGTGTCTACCATCTGATTGTCATTATATCGATTGAAATATCTCATGAACTTTTGATTTTTTAAGATTGAACTTTCTGACATGTTTTAGCGCTGTACTTTATTTATTTATTTTGACGTGAGGCGGTTGTGATCTCCTCTAGTGCTGTTAGCTGCTTATTCACTCATTGATATTTACTCTCATTTAAGGAGCGCTTACTTTATTATATATCCTAGGTTGTGGCTCTATTGCCTCCTCCTGACTCTGGAGGACCATAGAACCTTCCAGAAGTCTGTAAGTAGGAAGGGGTGGAGGCCTAATATGCATATTCATGGGGGGTCTGGCCAATCCCAGGTTTGGAGGCCCTGGACTGTCCTATAAATATGGGAGAATCAGGCTAACAGAGGAGACTGCCGGTGCTTAATTCGGAGGGGTCCCCTAAGTCTGGGGGGGAGGCAGCCTCCAGGCTGGCTCAGGAGGATACATTTAGCGGAGAGGCGTGAATGGATCAAGGCCTGAAGCAGCAGGGAGCAAAGATGGCAGTGTGAGTACAGCAGCACACTCTGCTACTAGGTTCTACAAGGGGGAAGACTGCCACATGTAGCAAACTTTCTAAGGACAGCACTGGGCTCAATCTTTAATCCTTGTCCCGGGAGATCTTCCAAGAAGCCAGGAGAGCTGGTAGTGCTTGCAGGCAATGGAGCTGGGAGCAGTTCTATAGGAGAAGAAAAGAGATCTGCATCACAGACTGGTCACTGTCTTTGGATGCAAGTCTGTACGAGACATACCTGTTGCCTGGTTGTGCAGAGAGATGCTTAGGGATACCCACCACACAGTGGCCCTCATGAGCGTAGCACTACAATAGCATGTTTCCTTTCTTTTGTACTTTTTTCTGTGCAGCCCATCTCTTTTCACTTTTTATGTTTTTCCTAATAATCCTTTATAATGGATTATGCAGAGGTGAACTATTAAATGCGTCACAAGTAACTTTTTAAGAAAGATGTAGGGAGCACAGATGCAAAAGCATTGATTTGTAAAGAGGCTGTAACATGAGTGATCTCAAGCAGTCTAATAAAATGTATCTCCAGTCTATCACTCTCCAGTGTCCAACAACTCCTATAGCATGCTTCCAGTCTCTGACCATCTCTTTTAGAATGCCCAATGATCATCTCCTGATGCATGTCTTGAATGTCTGACAGCTTTCAGTAGCATTACATTCACTGCATGTTGCGTTCAGCTTTTTGTTGATGTCAGGGCTGCACGTGAGGCCCCTTATATAAAGAGGGTTGACCACCACTGAGCTACAGAATTGCTAACAGACTCCTCCCCTTTTGTTATGGATTTAATTCCTGGCTACCTGGGCCAGTGAGATGTCACTCCCTCGCTAGTGAGTGAAATTCTCTAGTGTTTTGGGTCAGGGAGGGAACATTTCCATTAGGGGAAGTGGGAGCCTCTTTTTAGTGATTCTGCTGCTTAGGTTGCAGCAGAATCGCCTGTCATAAAATGAAGATGTTATGAGAACTCTGCAAAAATATATTTTCTGTGTTTGACAAATAAATGATTTCTTAGCAAAGTCCTGTGGAAATAGTTTTTACAAAGACATAAATTATTTCTCAGCCAACTTTGAAGCTGGGGACAGAATGCCTCCATGTTATGGCAACGAAGACATGCACAGAATATATAGGAGAAGAGGCAGTGCGATGGAGTCCCTCCATAAAATGTTCAACATTCTCCATTTAAGGCAAAATGATCCTAATTCATGAACTGCCTACAGTTTTCCTTACATGGCAATGCTGGGATATCAGTTATCGAGTCTCCAATTGTCCCTGTTGCTGCTCAGCTGCATATGGAACTTGTCACCTCAGCTTTGAATGTTTTCTGAGAGTAAAAAAACTTGAAGGTTTCTGATGTATGAGGATCGTAAGATGTGTAGATGGGCACAGTCCAAACTGACTGAGGAAAGCACACACCATCTGCATTATCCTTTGTAAAACCATCTTTGCTTTCCTATAAAAAGTGTATCTAAGGTCTCATCTGACATGTGGCATTTCTTGCCAACCTTCACTTCTTAGAAGGCATTTGAAAGGCAGTGAGAAGGCTATATGTTGCTTCCTCATGGCCTGTTTTAACCCTAAAAGGCTAAATCACCACGCTGCAACTGCATGCTTT